AGGCAAGAGAATGGAGAAAAGACAGCCTCTTCAGCAAATGATGTTGCAAAAGCTAGACAGCTGCATGCAAATCAGTGAAGTTAGAATACTCCCTCAAACCATACACAAAAATAAACTCTAAATGGATTGACGATTTAAACATAAGACATGACGACATCAAAGTCCTAGAAGAGAAATTAGGCACAACGTTTTCTGACATTAGCTGTACCAACATTTTCTTAGGTCAATCTCTCAAGACAATAGAAATAAAAGCAAAAATAAACAAGTGGGAGCTAATCATACCTATAAGCTTTTGCACAGCAAAGGAAACCATAAATAAAATGAAAAGACAACATATGAAATGGGAGAAAATATTTGCAAGCAATGAAACTGACAAGAGATTAATTTCCAAAATATACAAATAGCTCATACAATTCAAAAATAACAACCAAAAATACAACCCAATCAAAAAATAGGAAGAGGACCTAAACAGACACTTCTCCAAATAACACATACAGATGGCCAACAGGCACATGAAAACATGCTCAAAGTCACTAATTATTAAAGAAATGCAAATCAAAACCACAATGGGGTACTACCTCACACTGGTCAGAATGGCCATCATTAAAATAATACAAATAACAAATACTGGAGAGAATGTGGAGAAAAGGGAACCCTTCTACACTGCTGGGAGGAATGTAAACTGGTGCAGCACAATGGAAAACAGAATGGTGGTTCCTTAAAAAACTAAAAGCAGAGTTTCATATGATCCAGAAATCCTACTCCTCAACATATATCTAGAGAAAACTATAATTCAAAAAGATACATGCACCCAATGTTCATAGCAGCACTATTTACAACAGCCAAGACATGAAAGCAACCTAAATGTTCATTAGCCGATGAATAGATCAAGAAGATGTATATATACAGAATTGAGTATTACTCAGCCATAAAAAGAATGAAATAATGTCATTTGCAGCAACATGGATGGACCTAAAGATTATCACATTAAGTGCAGCAAGTCAGAATGAGAAAGACAAATTCCTTATGATATCACATACATGTGGAATCTAAAATATGACACAAATGAACTTATTTACAAAACAGAAACAGACTCTCAGACATAGAAAACAAACTTACGGTTACCAAAGGGGAAAGAGGATGGGGGAAGGTAAATTAGGAGTCTAGGATAAGCAGATACAAACTACTATATATAAAACAGATAAACAACAATGCCTTACTATATAGCACAGTGAACTATACTCAATATCCTGTAATAAAACACAATGGAAAATAATATGAAAATGACTATGTATATATATGTAGAACTGAATCTCTTTGCTTTATACCAGAAACTAACACAATGTAGTAAATCAACTATAATTCCATAAAAAATAAGTTTCAAAAAATGAAAATAAAACTGATGTGGAAATCTTGGGGTAAAATAGTAGAGTAAGGAAACCCAGAATTCCATCCCTCCTGTAAAGCAATGATTAAACTAGAAAAAACTCTCAGAATCAAGTTTTTCAGAACTCTGCAATCTAACAAAAAACCTGGAATAACCAAGGCATTCCTGGTTTGGCTTGCTGGTGCCAGAGTGGTCAATACAGGCACACCTTGTAGACATTTCAGGATCAGTTCCAGATCAATGCACTAAATTCAGTAACATGAATTTTTTGGTTTCCCAATATATATAAAAGTTATTTTTACACTATACTGTAGTCTCCTACATGTGAAGTAGTGTTACATCTCTTAAAATGTACATACTTTAATCAAAAAATACTTTATTGCTAAAAAATGCTAACCATCATCTGCGCTTCCAACAAGTCATAATCTTTTTGCAATGGTAATATCAAAGGTCACTGATCACAGATCACCATAACAAATATAATAATAATGAAAATGTTTGAAATATTGAGAATTACCAAGAAGTGAGCAAATGCTTCTGGAAAAATGGCACAAATAGACCTGTTCGATGCAGGGTTGCCACAAAACTTCAATTTATAAAAAATGAAGTATCTGCAAAGCACAATAAAACAAGGTACGGCTATATGTACCTTATTTTCAAAGAATTGTGTTTTGACCTTCCAGGGGCTCCGTGAGAACACCTACAACTCAATAATCAAAAAAAAAAAAACCCCCAAAAAACAACAAAAAAAAACAAAAACAAAAAACCCACTATTTTAAAATGAGCAAAGGACTAAAACAGACATTTCTCCAAAGAAAATATACAAATGGCCAATATGTTTATGAAAATATGCTCAAAATCACTAATCATTAGGGAAATGCAAATCAAAAGCACAAACAGATACTACTTTACACCCATTATGACAGCTGCTATCAAAAAACCAAAAAACAACAAGTGTTGGCGAGAATGTATAGAAATTGGAACCCTTGTGCACTGTTGGGAATATAAAATGGTATAAACGCTGTGGAAAACAGTATGGTGGTTCCTCAAAAAATTAAAAATATAATTACCATGTGATCCAGCAATATCATTTCTTAGTATTTATCCAAAAGAATTGAAAGCAGAGTCTCAAAGAGGTATCTGTACACCCATGTTCATAGAAGCACCATGCACAATAGCCAAAACGCAGAAGCAAACCAAATATCCAACAACAGACGAATGAATAAACAGAATGTGATATATATACACAGTAGAGTATCATTCAACCTTAAAAAAGGAAGAAAATTCTGACACATACTACAACATGGATGAATCCTGAAGACATTACACTAAGCAAAATAAGCCAGTCACAAAAAGTCACTTCCCTTAACATGAAGTATCAAGAGCAGTCAAACTTACAGAAACAGAAAGTTGAATAGGAGGCCGAGAGGAATGGGGAGTTTCTGTTTAATGGGTACAGACTTTGTTTTACAAGATGAAAATGCTTTGGAGGTTGGTTGCACAACAGTGTAAATAAACTTAACACTTTTGAACTGTACACTTAAGAAGACTACGATGATTCAAAAAAAAAAAAAAAGGATGCCTGCTTTGGCCATTTATATATTCAACACTGTACTAGAAATTCTAGCCAGAGCAAATAGGTCAGTAGGTAGGTATTCAGGTGGGTAGGTAGGTAAATAAATAAATGGCATTCAAACTGGAAAGGAAGAAATACAATTGTCTCTTATTTGCAGATGACATATATAGAAAATTCTAAAGAATCTACAAATAAACTATTAGAACTAGTGAATAAATTCAGCAAAGTTGTAAGATACAAGGTCAACACTTAAAAATCCATTGTATTTCTACACACTATAAATAAGCAATCAAAAAGGAAGTTAAGAGAACAGTTCCATTTACAACAGCATCTAAAATAAAATACTTAAGAATAAATTTAAGCAAGGATGTCTAAGATCTGTACATTAGAAACTACAAAACATTGCTGAAAGAAATTAAAAACCTAAATTAATGGAAAAACACCTCATGTTCATAGATTCTAAGACTTACTACTCTTAAAATGGCAATATTCCCCAAAGTGGTCTACAGATACAATGCAATCCTTATCAAAATTTCAACAGCCTTTTGTGTGGAAATAGAAAAGCTAACATAAAATTCATGGCTTGCAAGGGACCTTGCTGTGGAACTGTTTGGCAGTTTCAAAATAAGTTAAACACAGACTTATCACATGATCCATCCATTTCACTCCTAGGAAAGAACTGAAAATAGGTCTTCTAACAAAAACTTGTTCAAGAATGCTCACAGCAGCACTATTCTCAATAACCAAAAATGGAATCACCCACAAATGCCCATCAATTACATATATATATATATATACACACACACATATACAATGGAATATTTACTCAGTCATAAAAGGGATGAAGAAGTAATATAAGTTACAACATGCATGGGTCTTGAAAACATGATAAGTGAAAGAAGCCACACACAAAAGGCTACATGACTCCATTTATATGGGCTATCCAGAATAGGCAAGTCCGTAAACAGGAACAGATTTGCAGTTGCTAGGGGCTGGGGTAAATGGGGAGTAACTGTTAATTAAGTTATGGTACTGCTTATTAAGGGCATAGGGTTTCCTTTTGGTGTGAGGAAGAGATTTTAGAAGTAGATGGTGGCTAAGGTTACACATTGTTAATGTACAAAATGCCACTGAATTCTGTACTTTTTCATGGTTGAACTGTGAATTTCATGTCACGTGTATTTTACCACAATTAAATAAGAGGGGAATCCCTTATTAGACTCTATAAAGATTTACATTCTGCCCAGTCCTCAGGATTGTCACCTACTAACCACCCTAGGTCGCCCTGGTCTACCCAGACCTGTCCCTTCTCTGAACAATCATGAGTCCTAATGCTGGCTCAATTCATTTGAATTATTTATCACGTATGTTCTTTTGACATCTCTTAACTTGTCCCCTGGACTGGATAAGAATCATTCACTTTATTTCTAACAGTTCTTTACGTAATGTTAAGGCTGTCTCTGGAAGGTTCACAGTGTCACCTAATGAAGCCTCTCAAAAAACTTTTTATGTCCTAGTTTCACAACTCAGTAAGATCGTAAGATTCACATTTACCTACATGGCATCGTTGCCCTACTACTGATCTGCTACTCTGTATTAGAAGTTAGCAAACATTTTCAGTAAATATCCACACAGCAAATATTTTAGGCTTGTGAGCCATACAGTCTCTCCCACAATCACTCAGCTCTGCCCTTGTGATGTATGTACATGTAAAGCAGCCACAGCCATAAATGAATGAGCATGACTGTGTCCCAATAAAATGTTACAGACACTGAGACTGGAACTTCATAAAATTTTCACATCAAGAATATTACTCTTGATTTGTTTGTTTCTCAATCATCTAAAAATTCTAATTTATGGGCCATGATAAAACAGGCAGCATGCTGCACTTGGCCCATGGACTGCAATTTGCTGACTTCCGCTCTCTATTTTTCCTGATGTTAACTTATTCATTTCTACTATTTCATTTCAACGTACATTTCATAAACCTCAAATAATCACTGTTAAGCAAAACTGTGCATAAATTAAACAGCTCACCTGGGACGTGATCATTTTCTGCTGGTGCTGGAAGAGAGTGCAGAACTGTAAGGGTACAGCTGAGAAAGAAGGAAAGGTCATGAGAGATGTCACCTGCCAAAAAACGCCACATAGTACCTGGCAAACACCTCAGAAAGGGAGACACCTTGAGAAGGGGCAGAAAGGGTAACAGTCAGGAAGGGAGCACTCTGTGTCCACGCATGGCCCTGTATGACTATGCAGTGCTTGGACACGCTAGTTTTCAAATGTAAATACATTTGTTTCCTGCTAATTTATTAACAATGTATGCGCTAACCCAGAAAAATGTAAACACATTAAACTAATTCAGCCAATTAGGAAAAGCCAAGGAATGGAATATAATGCTTTCCTTAAAACTGATGCTGAGCAAAAATACAGAACAAAAATGTGTAATGTTCATCACAAAACAGAAAATCCCAACAAGACTCTGAAAAAAGGGAGGGGTTGTTTTAAAGGGCTGGTCTCTCTTGGAAGGAAAAAAAAAATTCCTCTTAATTTGGTTTCAGGTTCTCAAAAGTATTTGACAAAAAAAAAAAACTGGTTTTGATTTATCTGTTGTCAAAGCATAAAAAACCTGCCTGAACTATCAAGAGACTAAATGTCTGCTCTTGATTCTGCCGTAATAAAATGTGTGACTGTAACCACTTAATATTTTACACCCACTTCCTGCCCACACTATCCCCACACCGTCTTTTAAGTAAAGCAGGAATAGACCTGTCATGCAGTACCACCTCTGATTCTCTAACATCAGTACAGAGGGGGCATCAGCATATCTGTAGTTGTGGTGTAGTGTGGGAGCAGCTTAGAGCCCAGAAACAGTGAAGGGATGAAGAAGGTAATTCCCTTCCCTGTGGCTGGTAAGCTCTTCCTTCCACACGATGCTTTCATAACTCCCCAAGAAGCAGTATCTTCTGTTCCTTTTGTCTTGCCCTCCTATCCCAGCCACAGCTTACACCTCTTCTGAAAGTTGGCCCAAAGCTTCCACCGTCACCCAGTCTGTGACAGTCTGCCTATGACAGTGGTTCTGGCAGGAGGACCCAAATTGCTTCTGGCTGAGCAGTAAGAGCCCCTTCCACTTGGGCTCTGGATCTGTACTGAAGTCTCAGGCCAGCTGGCTGTCCTACCAGGGATTTCTGCTCCTGGAACTCCCTTCTTACGTCACAAAAGCTGCTTTGTTGCAAGAAAGCCTGACCCAAATCAGTTGGAATATTCACCCAAAATCTCAAGCTCCGGGATCTTCCTGTCAGCTTGAGTTACAAGCAGGACCACCTGTAAAAGCAAACTGGTGCTACTGAGAACACAGGCAATGCTGGGGCGGGGGCGGTCAGAGCGACCGGGACGCGTCCGTTTATGTGCCAGGCTCACAAGTTCTTTAGAAACAAGAAAAATTTCCCCAAATCCAATGCCGCATTCACTTCAAAGTGATTTCCTCAGGGGGTTGGAGCCATGAAGCTGCTAACTGCTTGACTGACTCATGCTCAGGTTTCATGCTGGGCAGAGAACGAGGTATGGACTCTATCCTTCCTCCTGCCCCTGCGCGGGTCGCCACTTCGGATTCCTATCTCCTCTCTGAGCCTGTTTCACCATTAAAATGGGACACGACACTGACGGCAGGTGGTTGGGAGGATGAAGTGAGATCTCGAGCGAAAAAAACCCACAGTTCTCCGCTGAGATGAGAAGTGGGTACCGACTGAGCGCCCGAAAGCCGAAGTCCGCGCGCGGTCGCACGGGGCCTCGGACCACCCTTCACCCCTGAGATGAGAAAACTCAGCTTCACCTGGTAACAAGCGCTGGGACGCGCCGGTTCTCCTCAGGTGCATGAAAACGGAGCTGGATTCACACCAAGGTCAGAGGATAAAGCCGTCTCTCACTTACCCCTCTCGTGTGGAGGCCCCTGCTCCACCCGCTCAACCCTCAAGGGGCTCAACAGCGCGTCCTAGTCAGCGCCCCCGCCTTCAGCCGCCAGAGGCTCGGGCACCGTCTCCTCGCGAGACCGCAGCCGCAGAACGGGAACACACGGGCAAGTGGGGGGAGGGGAAATGGGGGCAGCGCACATGCGCAGAAGGCCCAGAGCGACTGCCTTGTCCTGGGCCAGAAAACTCAAGGTGCTGAAAGCCCTCCAGCCAGCTCAGTTAGAAAGGGGTCTGTGACTTTCAACACACTGGGTAGACCTGCCAGGTTTAGCAAATAAAGCTCAAGCCGTGAGACATACTTTTATTTGTTGTTCATCTGAAATAAATGATAAGTATTTAAATTACATGTCTGTTTCATTAGTTACATTTCCCTGACGTGTTGGCTTTGCTTAACAGTTCTTTGTTTTGCAGATTTCAGTTATAGAATTTCTTCCATAGTCAATTGACATTGTTCCATTTACATTGTCACATGTCTTCTACAGTGGTCACATCTCACTTACTTTGTTCTTTGTCCATTGGACATTCATTAATGAGAAAACACACAACTTTAGCATTACGAACATATAATGGCATTAAGTTAACAACTCTAGGAACTGCTCTGCAAATTGATTCGTTGAAACACATAATAACATCACTTATGGCACAACTTGCCTTTTCCATCCTTCAGGATTATGTTGGATCTCTTGATTAATGGCTTCTTAATATGTCCACTGACAAAAGAGAACTTTTATGTCAACTTTTCCCTTGCCTTTTTAACACTACATACGATAATTCCACTTGTCTCTGTGTTAGAAGAGCAATTAGTAACATCCATGTAAAACAATCAAATTCTTCAAGAGATGAAACTCACTTCAGAATACAGTCACGGCAGGTACAATAATGATTATCCACAAACCGGAATTTATTTTCCTAGTCATAACTAATGTTATCCCTTTTAAGAACAGTCTGACAGGAAGATTTCACCAAGTTCCACTAAACAATGGAATATTTCAATAACACGTTTTTCTCTTCTTTCAATTTCTATAATTCTATTGCTAAAGAGATACTGAAAACGGTAAGCAAGGAATAAGCAAATTGGCTTCATTCAATGTATTATTCAAAAAATAAACAATAATTTGGGGCCTTTCCTTGAAAATTAAAATATTAGTTCAGTGCTTTAAATTAACTGAGAACTCTTCCAGCTGTGTTTGTTACCATGCCAATGAGTTTCTGAATGCAAGAGAAATGAAAAATACTGAATGCCAACAAAAATCTTTTACTCACTCAATTCAAACAGTATAAATACTGAAGTCAGAGAACAACTTTATGACAGTTACTTCAACATTAATAGAAAGGACAAGAGAAGCTGTCATAGAGGAGAACAAATCTGACTCTACATTGGATCTGTTCCTTTAGTTTTAACCACTGTGCCCTGCTTTCTAGGCTCAGTCTTGCTAGCTCTGCACCTTTTGTGAAACTATGTTGCCTTTAGCTTGAAATATACAGGAGAACGTATTCTCTGCCTATGACCTTTAAGGATGTTAGTACTTCTGCACTTACGTGGACATGGCAAGCTGCAAAATAGAGAATGACCTTTGGGTGAAAGTTTACAGGGACACCAGGACCTGGCCCACAAGGACAGCTGCAAGGACAAAGAATGCCTGCAGCAAAAAGTTTGCAAAAACCAACTACATGCCTTCCCTCCACTTTTTTTCTCATATAAAATGAGCCTGTATTCTAACTGAAGCAGGATTAGTTGGCCATTCCTCTCCATCTATGGGCTTTCTGAATAAAGTCGCTGTTCCTTGCCCCAACACCTTGTCTCCTGATTAATTGGCCTGTCATGTAGTGAGCAGAACGAGTTTGGGCTGGGCAGCAAAGCTATTTGAACAGAAAGCATTATGCAGAATATGGGCAGAACAGTCAACATCTTCCGTAGAATCATTCATGCTTTGTTTCAGCTTGGAATAAACATTTTTGCACCTTTATGGAAACATCCACCAAAATTTGTATTTGTTTTACCACCAGCAAGAGTCTTGTAGAAGTAAGAGTTAAATATGTATTTTCTGCATTGCCATTGCTTGCATCCAAGGCTGTGCGGAAAAAAAAGATGAGGCATTTAGAACATTGATCATCTCTGTAATCATAAGTGACGCTATTACTTGTGGTGTTTTTGCAGTGGACTTTATCCTGGCACTTGACATTTTGGTTGCAACTTTGGAATCAGAAAGTACTTCTGGCAGCAGTGTGTTCAGTCATTTGAGCTGAAAGACTGATGATGATACGTGGTGTGGAGTGTATTCACAACTTCTGCAACTACTGTATCTCAGTCTGAATTCCTATTGATCAAAAAATTATTTTATCACTTTCTATAGTACTTACTGAGGAAATAATACATCTCTTATGCTTAGCTGTTAGTATATAACCCAATCAGTTATCCAACGTGATCCGTTATCTAGGGTGGGAAGTTCTGGTAACTGACTTAGCCAAGAAAGCTACCCACACATTGGGGATCAGAAATTGGTGGACTTGTCATTTGGTTTCCAATCACCTGTACATGACCTTAAAAGCTTACTCTGCCAATACAATTTTAGCCAACTCCAAACTAACAACAATGTCATTCTCCTGGGCTTTCCTTCAATTAGATGCCCCACCTGTTTTCCATCCCAGTTGCTCCTCAAGGACTAACTTAGAGATCCATTTAGGAATCTATTGGCTGGATCAGAATTTGAAAAGGAGTTGTTTGAAAAGACAACTATGTGTCTCACTTATACCATCTATCTGAGACCTAGCAGGGACATAAAATTTCTATTGCATGTTTTTTCCAAGAGCCCAGAATGTGTATTTTGAGAAGTAAAATGTGTACCTTGGATCCTATTAGCAATGTCTATAACTTCAAAGGAAAAAAAAGGAATATCATGGCAAGGCCTTGTATATGTAGAGACATATGATTTTTATTTATATTTTTGATTTATGCATTCATTCCTCAGGATCCACAGGGATTGGTTCCAGGGATTCCCATGGACACCAGAATTTGCAGATGCTCAAGTCCCTTATAGAAAATGGATTAGTATTTGCATATAATCTACACAATTTTAAAACACCTCTAGGTTACTAATAATACCTAATACAATGTAAATAGTTGCAAATACAATGCAAATGTTATATAAACAGTTGTCAGCACAATGCAAATTCAAGTTTTGCTTTTTGGAAATTTCTTGAATTTTTAAAAATATTTTCAATTCATAATTGGTTGAATTGTGGATGTGGAATCCATGGATGTGAAACCCAGGGACACGGAGGGCCTACTATATTTATATTTTGGGTTCTGTGAGGCAAGAGGTTCACAGAGCTCTTTATCCTGAAGGAGTCAGCTCTTAGGCAATGTCCCAATAGTTCTAATAAAAGTGGAGATGGGACAGTTTTTTGGTAAGAGCATCCAGTGCTGAGGTGACAACCTGAAATTTGGTCCGTGTCCGTTTTGTAGACCTTTGTTTACCAGCTGTTGATTGGATAGAGTCAGTAATTTTAATATTATT